ATATATATATATATATATATATATATATATATATATATATATATATATATATGCGGTCATCTAAAGCAACTACACCATACAGGAGTGATATGATGTAGTTGCTTATTCTTAAAAGTAATGATAGGCTATGATAGTGAAGCCAATGAATTGAAGGCGCGCGTGGAGGGGTGAGTGCGGACAGAGACCTTTCGGCAGCAAGCGTAAGCTTCTTGCACCAATGATGCCAATCCAACGCATTCAAAGCAAAAGTCTGCACCCCCACCAGTCATCTCAATGATCACCTGTACATGTAAAAAAGAAACTGCAAATGCTTAGCTAAATAACAGAGTCAATCAGGGGAAAAGGACCAAGACCCACTTTCAATCTCTAGAATAAGTGTGCATAAGAGTACAAAACACTGCAATGAAAACTCCACACAGTTGATGAATAGTTGTAGAGAAAGACCTGGCTAACAGATTTATTCTCACAATTTGCAGGGTCGACAAAGTCAGTGAGCCCAAACTTTTTTCCTGTGCCAATAAGAAACAGTTATCCAAATTCCTCCTGCAAAGGAGGGCATCTCTGCCATACATTCACATGATTATAGAGCTTTTCACTGCCTAAAGGAAAATCAACCACTTCTGATAAGATCCAAATACCAATTTCAAATTTCTGTTGGTTCACATCCACACCAATGATTCTAGTAGCTCCACACAGTCTTGCTCCCTCCGCAACCTGGATAATTCAACCATGGATGTGAGCCTTCTCATACACTCAGTCAAATAAGCAAAAAGATATCCATAGTAAGTTCTGCAAATGCATACAGCTAAACCAATTGAACCCAGTCCAAATATAGCAACAGTAGATCCCTTCTCCACATTTGCTGTTCTCCAAGCAGCACCGACTCCTAAATCCAAATTTGAGAAATATCATAATGTGTTGTAACTTTTGGTGAGAAAAGGATGGGGTTTCTGAAGGCAATTCAAGTAGAAAAATTTGCAAACACCACATCTAGTCACTCAAGAATAAGACCAGAACATAAGGAATTTAAAATAATACCGGTTGATATTCCACAGCCGAGAAGACAGGCCCTGCTTGGAGTTACTGCAGGGTCAATCTTTGTGACATGGGCTATGTCTACCACTGTATACTCAGTAAAACTAGACACGAACAAGAAATGGTATAGAACCTCCCCATTGAGGTCAGTGAATCTGCTTGTCTCGTATCTTGGCATAAAAGGAGAGACCTTGAAGGGGAGTTTTGTACATAGGTTACTCTTTGTCGATCTGCAATCTGCACATTCTCCACATTGTGACATGAATGTTGGGATGACAGTATCTCCTTCAGTTACTTCATTGACATCCTCCCCAACACTCTCCACAATCCTACAACGAATATACGCATATTAGCTGTGGTCTTTCATTCTTCCCCTTAATTATTTAACAGTTTTACTTTGTGATTCCTAGAAACAAAAAATGCGAATGCCAATAACAAAACCGTATGGTTGGAGCTCACCCGATAGCTTCGTGACCGAGAATTCTTGGGAAGATTCCAGGAAAGTCCTAGCAAATAAAAAGCTATGGATAAGCATCAACAACTTCTTATAACTATTTTGTGTTTTTTCTTCTGAATGAAAAAAAAAAGTATGGGTTTGAACTTTGATCTTTGATTGACTGACAATAAGCTACCTTCATTTTCCAGAAAATGATATCGCTGTGACACAGAGAGGTACAGATAATTCGAATGCGGACTTCATGAGGCATTGGGGGTGCCACAATGATTTCTTCCATCACTAGAGGCTCACCTGGTTTGCGACTCACCGCAGCTACCGTTTGTTTTACACACAGATTTGCATTGCATGCAACAATTTTATCAGTTTGATTTTCATCATAAGCAAAGCAAGAGAGTTGACCAATAATCAAAGAAAAAGTTTTTAAAAAGCTCATGCAAAAAGAACCTCTGCATCGAATAGGCTTCCCTCTGCTTCCACTTGACAACTTCTCAGGATCCATAGCTAGCTAGCACAGAGAAACACTCACACACTCTCTCTCTCTGTCTCTGCGTCTCCGACTTATTGTTCAATCTTCCAGTCAATATAGTTGCAATTAAAAATGGAAAATTGAACAGCTGATACTTATCTGGCTAAGGAATGGTTTTGGATGCAATTATGAGTTGGTAAAGGAAAGAGACAAATGTAACAAACAAAAGGAAAGAGACAAACTAACAATAGCTTCTCACTGGTATCTTCTGTATCCTCATGTGATTATGCACGAGTCGTTTGGAAACTTGGAATGAATGAATTATGAAATTATATGCAGAGCAGGCGTTTTCAAATGGATATGGAAGTCGTATTAGTACAGCTACAGGGCTACAGTTTTCAAATGGTTTCTACAATCTACAAAGGAAAAAGCCAATTTCAACTCAAGTGTCAAAACATGTGTGTGTGTGTGTGGTCAGGGTTGCATCAAATCAAACGCAATAGATATATAATAATAATACAACACTTTTTCCTTTTAAGTACTCCTTCTGTTTAATCATTAATTTATTTCTAAAATTACTGTTTTATCGTGTAAATAATACATGTCCTAAATTCTTTCCCACTCAAAGATTGTGGGTTTTTTTTAGAGTGCAGAAATAAAGGGAGCTCAATACTTTACGCCCTTTTTTGGCAAAACCCTAACAATTAACTGATCACTGATGCCGGACCTTATTGGTTGTCTTGTGATATTATTTTTCTTTTTTTAATTTGGAGCTGTTTGTTGTGAATTTATCTATCTACCCTCAACTCAACCTGCGCTCATTGCTTAAACTATTTTATAATATTTCAGAAATTCCTATATTATGACAAAAAAAGAATTACTAAATTTTAATCGAAAGTTTTTGTTTTGAAATTAAGTTGAATGTTTTAGGCTTCCTAAATTTAAATTACCAGTGAATGCCATTTCCTAAATTTAACTTAAAAAGAATATTTGTTTTTTTTTAAGCCATTCTAATAATAACTAAATGAAAAGCAAAAACAAATTAGATGCCAATAGGTAGTAGCTAGGTAGTACAACTTTCGTTTTACAGGACCCGAAGGTTCCCGAAATTTCCCGAAGTTTACATTTTAGGGCTTTGAAAATTTGCAGACTCTTTTCTCTCCTACGTATCGTAGTCATCGTCCTCCACAGTTTATAATTAAGGGCTTGCAGAGACAGCGAAACCGGAATCGGACTTTCCGAGGTTGGGCTTGCGATCGCCGTAGGGGTTGAAAGGACTCTCTGGTATGTAGATTTGCTTTTCGAAGATCAGCTTTTTAAAAACAAAATCTTGGAATTTCTATGTCTCAGCACGATATATATATAGCCCCTGATATTGGGGTGCATGCCAACGTTAAACACAATTATCTTGAATCCGGCATTTGAAGGGTCCAATGCAATCCCAAATCAATATGAGTCTTATAGGGTTTGACTGCAAAACCCTAGATACTTGGCGTTGCTCTGTCATCTGTCATTTCCCTATATTCTTTGAAACTTCAGATTCAGCTTAAGATAGCAATAGCATCAGGATTCTATTTCGTTTTGGATCAGACAATTTCTACCTTCCCCCCCTCTCTCTGTAGCGTTTCCCTTCTGGTTGCAGTCATGAATTTTGCACTACGTATGGCCTGCCATTTGGGATGTTATATGCCCATCTATAAACGTTTCTGAATTTGGTCTATGCTTGTCAAATTCCGTGTTGTTTCTGCACATTTTGTACTATCAGGAAGTTTTATCTTTGAAGTTAAAAAAGAAAATGGTGTTCCATTGCTTCTACAGGTAGCTACTAAAATTGGAAACTGAGGTTACTTTCTAAACCATTTCAGCTAGCATGGCAAATCAGCACTCCAGTGAAGGCTCTAGTTCTGGCAACGTTGCCGGGGAAAGTTCTGATTCAACTGTTGAGATCAATATTAAGACTTTAGACTCACAGATATATAGTTTTCAAGTGGAGAAAAATGTGAGCTCATGTCTTCCTCTCGCATTTCAATTTTTCTTGTTTTAACTTTAATATTTTGATCACTGTTTATGTATTTGGTGATGTCTTGTATAGTGCTTACTTATATGGGTTATAGTTTTGTTGTTCTTCCATATTCAGTTTGTTAACCAGTTTCTAGGAACTACATGTTTGTACATCAAGAATATGATCTCTTCAGGCTTGTTTCTTCTATATTTCTGATATTCATATACAAATTTTATTTCAGATGCCAGTTTCATTGTTCAAGGAAAAAATAGCTAATCAAATAGGTGTTCCAGTTGGTCAGCAGCGGCTGATTTTCAGGGGAAAGGTGCTAAAGGATGATCATCCTCTCTCTGAGTATCGTATCCTACCATTTCGCTTTTGATGTATATAGAATTAACACAGAGATTTTGTTGTTGAAAAGAACACTGAGATTATGACATTGCAACAACTTTGATATATGTAAATACATGCATACATATATACATAGTGCCTAACATCAGTTATAGCTTTGAGGTTGGTTAATGTATTGTGATCACAATACATAAGTTGACATACGAAGCCTCCTGTATGACATTTTTTAAATCTTTTTGTTATCAAACTCTTTTAGGTATTACATTAATCATTGTTTATCCCACCACTTGAGTTGAGCTCTATTACTAAACCTTTTGGGACCGCCCAAGTCCTAACTCTAATGCATTCATGATAGATCCTTGTTGTCCTGTAATATGGTTTGTCCGCACATCTTACCCATTTATTTATCAGTTTCAGCATATAATTCCTTAACCTCTTCCAGATTTGGAAAATGGGCATACATTGCACTTAGTTATAAGGCAACCATCCCAGTCACAACCTTCATCTGGGACAAGTTCTGGCGACCCACATGTGAATAATGGTAATAGAGTATTTCGTATTTGGGAAATGTTGGTACTGCAATTTCAGGTTCAGAGTCCTCCTAAGAGATTACCTAAGCTTCTTGATGTAATTTGGCAGGAAATGAGGCTAGTGGTGTTCCTCGTGGTCGCATTGGACAGATATCACACAGCGTAGTCCTTGGGACATTTAATGTTGGAGACCAAGGTGAAGGCATTGTTCCTGACCTTAGTCGGGTTCGTATTTTGCTTCTTGTTTTGTGGAAGTAATGGGCTTTATATTTATAAATGGGCCGGGAAAGGTTTCTTAAAGTGGTACTTCTAGAAGCTCATTATGCTATGTTCTTTCTTAGTAGGTTATTGGTGCAGTTTTGAATTCTATTGGAGTCGGCACCCAGGCTACAACTAATGTTACAGGCAACTTACAGTCCACTACTTCGGTGAGCAATGTGTGTTCCTTCAAATTACAACCAGATGTGTCTAATATATCTATGAAAATTGTTTGTAAATTCTCACTTGTGGTCCGTATAAAATAAATTGATTAAGTACTATTTTTAGCATCTGCAACTTAAGCTATATTATTTTTTATTAGTTTTTTTTGGAAACTGTTGTAATCTTGAAAAACTGAAGAAAATGTAGCAAGTGTTAAAGGGGTAAGGTAATTTGGTTCCTTAGGAGGATGGTATAAATTATCATATGGACAGCAATAGCATTAATGCAGTTATGTTGGTTTTCCTGCAGTCAAACAATTCTGGCCAGTCTCCTCACGGAAATGACTCAGAAGGGTTGCATAATGTTATTGGTCCGAACCGAGGAGGAAATCAAGCACAGTCTGGACAGGCATTTCCTGCTCAACCATTCCAAACTTTTCCTCAAGCTGTGCAAAGTCCTGCAGCTGCAGCATTTCCAATTCCTTCGTTGAATATGGTATTATTATGATGTCTTGGTCATATTTCAGTTGGTGACATGTATATGACCTCTTATTGTCTTTTGTTTCCTGTTCAGCCAATTCCAGACTCTTTGAATACGCTCTCTGAGTTTATGAACAGAATGGAGCAGGCATTGACACAAAATGGTGATAAAGCATAAGCATTCTGTTATTATTCTGTAAGAAATGACGGCATATGCTAACTTTCCTGATTTATGTAGGTTACCAGCCAAATTTATCTGCAACAAACACAGGAGACGTGCCGAGGGTGAATTTACCTTCCAATGCACAGGGGATGCCTACACCTGAAGCATTGGGCATTGTTCTTCGTCATGCAGAGCGACTTCTCAGCAGTCATGCTGTTTCTGCACTATCTGTAATTTTCCTTGGAAGTCTTTTAAGTTTGCTTTTCCTGGTTGATTTCATTGTTTATGGTCGTGATACATATACACACAGCAGGAATTGTCCTTGTCATCATTTTGTTACCTTGAATTATTTGTTAGTCTAATACTCTGAAAAGTTATTTACTTTCTCATTTGTTAGAAGAAGGGTTTAGGGCTTGAAGGTAGTTCAATAACAGTGGCGCCAAATGCCTAGAAGTTACAGGGAATACGTCCTTTAATTTACACTCTAGAGCTAATCCCTGGTATGGGTTTCAGTGTTCAAGATCCAATTCAATGGTCCGAACAGCGTCCAGTTTGGTAGTTTCTGATTTGGATTGGATCCCTAAATACAAGAACTATCCAATCTTGATCAGTTTGTAGATTTTTGAATCAAATTCAATCCAACCTAGGATTGGAATCCAATCCAATTCAATGTCAATTCCATTGGATAGAATGACGACATATTTCGATAAAATTAGGTGTAAGCACCTTGTAACAAAAAGATTAAAGGTAAAGAAAGTGCTTTGGTCATATCACATACCAAACATTTTTCATTCAAAAGTTTTAAAACTTATTTATGTAATTCCAAATGCCTATGTACTCCCCTATTAAATTGAAAGCTCTATCCTGATAAAGATATATGTTAAAATGTGATTGATGGACCTTTTCATCCTTCGGTACATGTTAACTGATTGTGTGTTTAATTTGTAATTTGCTGCAACTTTGTAGCGCATTGCAGGACGCTTGGAGCAAGAAGGAGCATCTTCAGATCCCTCTGTGAGGGGCCAAATTCAGACAGAATTTATGCAAGTAGGGCTTGCAATGCAACATTTAGGTGCTCTTTTTCTTGAGCTTGGCCGGACAATTTGGACACTTCGTATGGGACAGTCTCCTGTATGTTCTTATTGTATCTCAATATGTTTGGTGTAAATATGTGAATAATCGAGTATAGTTGTTTACAATTATTGTGGCCGAAAAATCTACAGGGAGAAGCTGTTGTGAATGCTGGGCCAGCAGTTTATATTTCCCCATCAGGGCCTAATCCCATAATGGTCCAGGTTCGTTGATGTGTATATAATGTATTCATTCTCTTTACATGATATCACATATGGATTAAGCAAGACATGTTATAACTGAATGAATCCAGTGAAAAAGAAAAGTATTGGGAAGTAACCCTGATATAATGTAGTGGAGAAGTTAAAAGTAATAGCCATTAGTTCAATAACTCTAGTCATTGTAACAAGGCATTTTCTACTGCTTGTTGGTATAGCCCTTCGTTGAGCTTTAGGTAATTTTGTTTTAAATGATTGAGCTGGTTTAGATGTCAACTGAGCCTGGTGAATTGTGTGTTATTTGCAGCCTTTTCCTCTTCAAACAAGCACAATGTTTGGTGGTTCTGTACCTCAATCAAATCCTATGACTTTTGGTCCTGTTGGTGTTGGAAGTGCTCCAAGGAACGTAAACATTCATATACATGCTGGTAAGCAAAATTCATCATTGACTTGGCCTATGTACCTTTTATGTAGCAATGTAACGCTTTTATCATCAGGTACCTCACTTGCGCCAATTGTTTCTGCAGTTGGTGCTAGGGGAAGTAATGGGGAGGGTATGCCGAGAGAACATCGTAATGGGTCTGGTTCTAGAGATTCAGGTGCACGGGGGCTGCCAGTGAGAAATGTAATTGCTGCCACTATGCCAACATCCCAAACTGGTGTGTCACAACCAGGTCTTTCTGCTTCTCAGCTGCCTTCCGACTCCTCACTTTCCTCCATTGTTTCTGAACTTAATTCACATATTAGAAATTTTGTTGGCAATATGCAAGGAGAAGACACAGTTCAATCAGGTACCTTTCCGTATGTGCTTTGGATTCTGGTGGATACATAGTGTCACTCTAGTTCTCCTAAGCTTCTTTTTTTGTTTTTTTGTTTTTGTTTTTTTTTCTGTAATCAGGTCAAGAGGTACCCAATGTTCAGAGTTCATCTGTTGGCTTTGAATCGCGTAATGATGCAACAAGTGAACGGCCCAGTACTGCATTTGTTGATGTAGCTGGGCAATCTAGTGTGCCACTACCTGGTTGCGCATCTGAAGGTGGAGGTCAGAAGGTATTATTTTTCGTGCATTGTTGGAGTCCCCCTTTTTATGCTTGTTTTGTTGATTCTTTCATTGATGTAACCCAATCCCCAACCTTAATCTGACAAAGTTAGTAATTGTCAGGATTCGGGAAGTGTTCCTACCTTGAAAGATGATTCAAGATTCCCAGCCGGAGGTCCTCTAAGCTCTTCAAGTGGACAAAATTACTTGGTGAGAAAAGATGAGAAAGAAAGTGGTCCACAATCCAGTGAGAAGCATGATATGACTGAGGGTACAAAAGCTGTTCCACTTGGATTAGGACTTGGAATTTTGGACCGTAAGGTATGATATTTGTGCATCCGTTTTATAGCTTTAAGCAAGAAATGAGCTTGAATAAAATTTGTGTCCCATAGTCCACAATTATTCCATTATGCATTTACTGCTGGTCTTGGTAAGTTGGCTACTGGGACTGTTATTTCAGCAGCTCATTAAAGTAGAAATACTAGGCCATATTATGTGGGATGTAGTGCTTAGGTAAGCATTTAGGGTGTAGATTCTACTGGTTTGTCTGTTTTTAGGCTCCCACCTAACAAAACAAAAATAAATAATTAAAAAATTTAATCTGCAATCAACTTACACTTAGATTCTTATTGAGACTGAGACTGTATCATTGATCCAATCAGAGACAAGGCAGGCAGCAAAAACCCAAGAATGGTGATGGCGGAATGACTAATGCTCCCATCAATCAGAATCAGCAAGTAACAGGTGGTCAGCAAGTTTTGCAGTCTCTTGCATCTCGTGGTTCTGCTGTTAATAGGATGAACACAGGTGATGCGCCTGCAAGACAAACAGCCCCTGCTATTGGGCAGGTCAGAGATGGTAGAACATTGGGAGCGCAAGGTTCTGTTGACCAAGTTGATATGGGAAGCATGATGTCTCAGGTTTTGCGTAGTCCTGCCCTGAATGGTTTGTTGGCAGGTGTTTCAGAGCAAACTGGAGCGGGTTCTCCTGATGCATTGAGGAATATGTTGCAGAACTTTACACAGAGTCCACAGATGAGGAATGCTGTCAATCAGATTGCTGAACAGGTTGACAGCCAAGATATTGGAAACATGTTTGCAGGACTTGGAGGAGGCCAAGGTGGCGGGATTGACATGTCCAGGATGTTCCAACAAATGATGCCCATTGTATCTCGAGCCCTTGGGGCTGGGGTCGGCCAACCAAACCCTGTTTTGGAACCTGAATCTCATCCACCATACAATGAGAGAAGTCTCAGCAGAGATGATAATGTCCCAAATCCTGAGGTTTGTATGGACTTCATAACTTGTATATTCATCTAAAGCTCGTTTCTAGATTGCAGATATTAGTTGTTATGTGCTGCTGGTCAAATCCTGCATGGACCACTTACTTAGCTTGAGAGGGAATTTAATGCCTAGACTAAGAGTTATAGTGAATCAGCATATACTAGGTTTCATACTGATTTTAATTAAATTTCACCTTTTTTTTAATAGATACATTGTCTTCTTCATTTTTTGCCATTAATGTGGTGTTTTACTTCACATGCACATGTTAAGTTTCACTCGTAACATTATCTGCTTCTATCTTGGGAATTAAAGTCGATTTTGGAGTGGTTGCTTGGTATAGTTTGTATCTGGAGAATAACTTATGTATGTGTTGTCTGTTTGTGGAACTATTACTTTTACCGTATATCTGATGCAAAACCAAGATTATTCGAACCTAACTCAATTGATATGTGTAAGATGTTGATTTCTTTTTTTTCTGACTTAAGCCGTGAATTGTAATTTTTTTTTTCTCCGTTTCATGCTCTATAGATTAACCTGCAAGAAGTGGTTCAGAGGATTGGGAACCTGAATGCACCAGGAGATGTTTTTCACGCTGTAGTTGAAAATGCAGTTGAGCTGTCTGGCAGAGGAAGTGGTCCACAAGAACTTGTGGATGAGTTGTGCGGGGACGATGGTCTCTCCAGAGTATGTGTTCTATGCTTTGACATGTGTCTCTTCTTCAGAAGATGCTATCCTTACCATATTTTGATAATTCTCTTTTCCACTTGTGCAGGAATACGTTGAGATATTACAAAGGGACATACGTAGACGTCTTGAGGGTAATTCGGGGCAGGACAAGTGCTAGTATTATTGCTTTGCGGGTGTGTGTTGCTATGGAATATGGATTCCCATTGTTGGTCGGCATGTGGAAGTAGTGTGGGTTTGCTCATGTTTTTACAAGCTGTCACTTGAAATTTGTTTTACAGATTGTTGAGAATCTGATGTACAAATTAGGATTGGGGATTTGATTTGCTTTGGATATAGTACCATCTGGTTCGTTGTTGTGTGAACCAGTTTTATAAATTTTTAATTGATTTTTATTGTAAACAAACACATCATCAGATTAACTTACAGTTTTTCAGTAATGTTCGACTACTCAGTTCAACAAAAAGATATATAAGAAGCTCTCTTTTATATTATCGTTTTATTTTTTGGTAATGCCTCTTATAAATGTCTAATGATTCAGTTTTTTGTTATCATATTTTTGGACAAAAACGCTCAAGAATATAAGCTAATGAAGCTCAGCCACTTTCCTACATTTATATCCATGGCGCTACACTCAAACGCTGAAATCAGATTATAACAACATCAAATTCGGCGTATAAATGAATCCTAAAATTTGGATTACAAAATTTACCCCAAAAAAAAAAAAAATCGAATTACATAACGGATTATCGGATCAAAATCCGATCCATTTGGGAGGCGTAGGGCCTTTTTATTTCCTTTTTGGGTTATTGGAAGGCCAAGGCCTTTATGAAAACATACAGAATCGAATGAGTGTTTTCGAAACGAAAAAAATAAAATCGACTTGGAAGTGAGAAAAAGGAGGCGCGCAGAAAAATATTCTGCAGAAGTTCCATATACACTAGTATTAACTATTGACTATCGAGTCGTAAACAATTTCTGAGAGGACCGTTGTGAATTTCCGAAAAAAGTGAGAACTCTTGTTTGTGATTATCTCTCGTTCGCAGCTCCTGAGCTTTCCACCAAGTGCAGTGACGTTGAATGGAGGAGTCAGCCGACGGCAAGGCCAAGAAGGCTGGGGCTCGCCTGTGCTGCCTCTGTCATCAGAAAAAAGCTGTCCTGAAGAGGCCCAAAACCCTAGAGCAGGTAATTTTGCCTACTCCGATCATGGAAACCTATTTAAACTACCTTCTGTTTGTTTGCCAAGAAGCTGAGACGAGATACATAAACTCGTCAACTGTATTTTGTGGTACGCGTTTATTATAAAACCCTAGAACAGAACCGCCTGAGTTTTTTTTTTTCTTTTAGAAAACAAAATTGAAATCGATGATTGTTTATGAAGATTTGCAGGGAGTGTTTCTATGAGGTATTTGAGGAGGAGATCCATCAGGTAATTGTCGAAAACCAGTTATTTAAGCCTGGTGAGCGCATTGCCCTTGGCGCCTCTGGTGGGAAAGGTAAACTAACCAAGCTATGCTTGTAATACTAGTTAATGCCATATTAGATTGTAAAAGTTATGTGGACCTCAGCTTTTCTTCTGATAATTGCTTTTTATGTTATTTAATACTGTCAGATTCCACTGTCCTTGCTTATGTGTTATCGGAATTGAATAGGCGGCACAATTACGGCCTGGATCTCTTCCTGTTGTCAGTGGATGAGGGCATTACTGGCTACAGGGATGATTCTCTTGAGACCGTCAAAAGAAATGAAATCCAGGTGAAGTGAATATCGATTCTGAGTTGCTGGTCATATGAAATGCTTGTGTTTTTTTTTCTTTGTTTCCGTTAATTCAAAATTTCTACTTTCAGTATGGGTTGCCGCTAAAAATAGTCTCGTACAAGGATTTGTATGGGTGGACCATGGATGAAATAGTTAAGATGATTGGTCTCAAGAATAATTGCACCTTCTGTGGTGTTTTTCGTCGTCAGGTATTTGCTTTTATTGGAAATTGACTGCTTGTGTATTTTTTCAGAAATCTTGTATGCATGTATTTAGACATGACTTCAGCATTCCTATGTTTTGACAACATCAAAGCTGTCTGGTTACTCCACAGAAACTTGTGCTGCTTATTATTTAGTTATGAACAAGCAATTAAAGCGTCTAAACCTATTCACACAACCTTGTTTCCCATAACATCTTATAATTTATAAATTCTAGCATAGATTAGCTTTCTGTGTCATTAAGCATGCAAGGCATGGACAACGTTTATTGGTTGTGAGAGATTATATGGAATTATTCAACTTAATGTATTTAACTTTTTATCTCTAAGGCCCTCGATCGCGGTGCTGCATTGTTGAAGGTAGACAAGCTCGCTACTGGACATAATGCAGATGATATTGCCGAAACAGTTCTGTTGAACATATTACGAGGTGACATTGCAAGGTACTTATTGAGGTTGTTCTTTATTATTTTTTCCTCAGCTGGTTTATGTGGTGAGCTGAATTGCTGGTTTTATTTTGTAGATTGAGTAGATGCACTTCAATTGTCACTGGTGAAGATGGGCCAATTCCAAGATGCAAACCTTTTAAATACACTTATGAGAAAGAGATTGTTATATATCCTTACTGCTGAAATACTCAATACTGATTTCTTTCTTTGATCACTGTTGTTCATCTTAATAATGAGTTGGAATTAGTTGTGAAGCCTTAACTAGATTTGCACGTATGCATATTTCAAGAGGCTGGACTACTTCTCCACCGAATGTAATTTAGTTTAACTCTAAGCTCCTTCAGATAATTTCGCTCAACTCTTGCTCTGTTATTTTCACTCCTCCCAACAACCCTTGCCACTATATTCTATGTTTTCGTGCTTTTAGGGTTAGATCTCATAAGCCATTGTTGTCAAAATTGCAGGCATTTATTCACCCAATGCTTATCGTGGTTTTGCTCGCGAGTTCATCAAGGATTTGGAAAGAATCAGGTGGGTTAGCTTGTTGTGAGTCCGTTTAGGCAATGTTTCACTTGTTGGCATTGTAGTTTTCACAAAATTTAATCATATCAGACTTCTGTATGCACATTCCATACTTTTTTGACAATTTACTCCACTTCTTTCTACTGAAGACCTAGAGCCATTCTTGACATCATCAAATCAGGAGAGAACTTCAGAATTTCCACTTCTACAAAAATGCCAGAGCAGGGGACATGTGAACGGTGTGGTTACATTTCAAGCCAGGTAAGTTTGTTACTAGTTTCACCTTGGTAAACATGGCATCTGATTGCAATATCTGGTTAATGTTAGACTCTCAATCTACTTTCGTTATCTGGGTAGAGCTGGCTGGCTAAGCAAGATATCATAATCGTCCCAAAGTTCTGGAATTACAGTTATTGGTGTGTAGTAATAATTTGATTAGGCAATCTGAACATTTGTTGTTTTATTGTGCAGAAATGGTGTAAGGCCTGTGTTTTGCTTGAGGGGCTGAATAGGGGTTTGCCAAAGCTGGGAATTGGACGGACTCGTGGACTTAATAACGATGATAAGAAGGATACAAAGAAAACTAATGGAACCAAAAGCATCGAAAGCAAACAATGTGGAACTTTGGACTTCTGATATAACCTGCAAGGCTATTGTATAAATGTATGATAGTCTCAGTATGGCCAAGGGAAGTATTTCAAGACCAAAATGAGTACTTCAATGTTCCATGTGGCTATTGTGACGAGACGAGAATGATAAAGACACCCGAAAGAGTTGCAAGAGGAGCGGACATCATCTTTCCTCATGGCCGGATAAGTTACAGAGTAGAAAGACCGGTGGAGATTCCATATTACCTGTAATTTGACAATATTGCAAGAAATTCTTTTCAACTCTTGTAACGGTTTTGATGTAGTGGTTAAAATTACTTCTTTTTCCGTATCGGATCGTAAGAGGCCTGAGGTGTTTTGAACTTTACAAACTCTAATTATGTAATTTTGGTTTGGGCCCACGAGTATTTGAAGACCAAGTTGTACTTGTATAGGAGTATTTTTGCTCACTACTTTAACCATAGGTGTACCCTCACCACCATCATCAATGCTTGACACGTGTCCATAGATGTAATCATGATTCCATAAATACAAAGCAAAAGTTAACTATAGTTATGTCTATGGACACGTGTCAAGCATTGAGAATGGTGGTGAGAGTACATCTATGGTTAAAGTGGTGAGCAGAAATGCACCCGTACTTGTATACCTGTTGCATTCCTAAAAGGACACAAATTAATGTGCAAACAACCAATTAAAAATACCCGCAAGTGTACGAATCTAATGAAGTATAGATTATGTAAGTACGGGGTCGATCCCACGAAGAACTTGTCGGTTTCCTATAAGTTCTAATTTGAGTACGTAAAGAACACTAATTTTACACAACACACAAACACAATACAAATTGGAAACTAAAAATGAAGTAAGGAAGATAAAAGAAATGAAACAACACAAGAAAACAAAGAAAAACACAAACAGCACTTTCTATCACCCGTTTATCACCATTTGGACAGATTCGTTTCTCTGTTTTTCAGTTTCGACCTCTGTCCAGTTTTTGACCTATAACTTTCCAACCGTTTATCCAAAATTCACGTTCTTTATACGGTTGGAATCAGCACAGAAAATGCAAGAACACATAAATACAAAGCAAAAGTTAACTATAGTTATGTCTATGGACACGTGTCAAGCATTGAGAATGGTGGTGAGAGTACATCTATGGTTAAAGTGGTGAGCAGAAATGCACCCGTACTTGTATACCCTAGTCATAGGATTCAAGTGTGTAGTAGCTTCCAATTTTGTCAGAAGATTTTCAGCAATGAAAAGATTTGAGTTTTCTATACTTGATGTACGCTACTTGTAAATTATATCCGTGGTTTAAAAAAAAAAATAGGGAGAGCTAAGCCAAAAAAAAATTCAATTTGCCAAACCCAAAAAAAAAACACTTGTTTAGAACAGGGATATCATTTCTGTTCTTAAAAAGAAAGTATCCGTAAAAATTGCTGATAAGAAGAAATTGAAAATAAATAATCTGTAAACACTAGCTGCCTGTCCCATATTTTCCTTAAAGAAAAAAAAAAGCTGCATATTTAAGCCTTATTTTCTACCAAAATAAATAAATTTTAAGCCTCATTTTATTTGGGGGTGTCGTCTCACTCTCGCAGTGCTCTGAGTAACAGTCTAATTTACGTCGTTATGGCATCATCGGCACCGCCAAGCTCAGCCGCCCAAAACCCAGCGAAGTCGTTGGGTTTTATTGCAAACGCTATGAAGCGGAAGGACAGCTTCATTCAGTTCTTCGCAATAACTGGAATTTTGCTGCTGAGCGTCAGATCGCTGGGCCAAAAGTATCGCCTCCACGATCTTCACGAGGACACCTCGGCTCTTAAGGAGGAGCAAGAAGCCCTTGTCAACCGCATGAACAACATAAAGCGCGATCTCCTCCATGAGGCCTCTCTCGAGCCCACTGGTCTCTTCGCTTCTAGGCTTCGCCTTCTCTTTGGCGAACGAGAGTGATCGCACTGTGAGTTGATGTTCTGAGGATTCCTTCTCTTTCTCTTCACTCTAGGTAGTTATTCGGAAAGAGATGCGAAATTTAACCCGAATTTGATAAATTGGATGCTCAATTCAGTGGTTTCTTGTTTCTTAATTGTTGTCGACCTAGGGTTTTGTATCCTTATTTCGTATTCCTGTGAGTTTAGGATTTTGACGCAGAATGTATACTGTTTCGTGATCGATTTTCGCTTAGGTTAGTTTGTTTAGTGGAACGTGACAAGGAAGTAATCTTTCAAATAAATTGTTGAACACTGAGCTTAATTTACATTTTCTTTTTCATTGTGCGTGAATATGGTTTACGTTGTTTGGTTAGGTTTCTTGCATTTGCTCCCTGTTTATAGGTGATATGAATTAAGTTCGAGATAATTGATGAATTGATTGTTTGAGTGGTTTGCTTGGAGCTTGGGATTCAAATGTTCTGTTCATTCTGATCCTGGCGAAGGATTTGGTTATCTTATCTGTTTTCATAAGTTTTGGGGGTTTATTTTTGAAGATACCTTCCATGGGAAAATGTTGTTTGGCTTTGATTTTGAACAATTTCCAAGTAAAGTTAAAGGGTCTTGCATTTTGGTTATGAAACCTCTTGGACAGACGAAACAAGCAAATGAAGCCTGTTTCAGTTTCATGTTTCCTAGTGATCCTCAAGTAGCCAGCGGATGTTGCATTAAGCAGTTAAGAATCCCTTCACAAATGTGAAAGTTATCACTCATTCGGAAGAGTAAAAATAGATTGACTCTGCATAAGCGTCTTTTTTCTTCATTTACTCGTATATTTAAAATGTGTGTTCTACTATGGTTTGTAGGGCATTCTTCCATAAATATGTGTGCGTCCTACATCTAAAGGATGGACAGTCGTGTCATCTCCAACATGGTCCAACCATGTAGGACAATTCTTTTGTTACTTGTGAATACTACACCTCGAGTTGAATTGTTAAACTTATTTGTGTTGTACGAACAGTCCGTGCGAATTACTTGTTAGCCTGTGTATTGGACCATTGAGGGTTTTTTTCTTCTTCTTTTGTTAATAACTATAGATGTCGTTTTGTATGTGGCTGCAAATTGCTTTGTCTTGCATCTCAACCACTCTGGGCGATGAGGATTCTGTGTTTAGATATGAGCCTTCAATAGAATAAATACATTGAAGCTATTGGATGGGGTCATATAAAAGATTAGGAATAGAATGTTAGAATGTTTAAAGTGTATTATTTTACTTGGGTTGCAGAGTGTTGTGTTGTGAGGATTCCCTGCTGTTACACATGATGCTTATCTTGATTCTTGATGATGATGATAATAATGATGATATAGGTTGCTGGGTTGGAAATTGCAAGGCATTTCAGTTTTACCAAAAGAGTAAAAAAGAAGTGTGATTAAATTTGAATTTTTAGAACTTGAGCTAAAATGAATATGAACGAGGAGTGAAGAGTCAATCATTGTTATAGCTTTTGGAATTCATATGATTGCTTTGCTCAACTTAATTGCACTGCAAGTCTGTAGCATCAGGACTTTGATTGAGATTTGAGAGGAATGTGTGCATGTGTTGCTTTTTCATGTGTTTTTTTTTTTTTTTTTTTGGTCTGAACCATGAGGTGGTCCTGGATGGGCCCCAATTATGGGTGGCACCTTTAAGCCTTAACCACAACCCAGACTAATCCCCACTCACACCGGGTCGGCCCGTAAGGGGTAAAGTGTTGGCCAAAGTGGTGACTCCGTACGAGAGCAGGGATCGAACCCCTGACCTCTCTTAAGGAATGAGAGTGCCGAATCACTCACACCAACCACCTTGGTTCTTTTTCATGTGTTTTTTGGGTGGGCCTGAATGCGTGATTATGAGTCCCACATACGTCTTAAATCTTTTTCATGTCAATAATGTTATCTTCCTGCACTACAGTCTACAGCTGTGTTACCCTTAGGAGGAGGACATAGATTTGATGGCTACGTGGTGTATGGTTTGAGTTCAACATGCCCACTAATCACGGTTAAGGGGACCTACTACCCAGCCAGGGGAGCATCATCAATAATTTGGTTACTTTTGAACTGCATTTGAATTTCAATTAGAAACCGCGTAAGCATGTTACTTTTTCTTTTTCCTAAAGTTGGGGGGTTTTTAATTTTAAATGAGAAAATCTACTTGCAATTTTCCTGGCTTCCTTAGAAGTTAGAAACCTGATCTGATAGGAGTAGTAAATCTCAGAATGCTGTAGTGTAGTGTAGTGTAGTGTAGACATCAAATAAGTCAAGTCAGTACTAAAAATAAAATAAATAATGAGATTTGTCACACATGAAAATTTAAAAAAATGAGATGTCATAATCGAACAAGATAGCTTTGAGCACATTTCTCATTCTGTGTGTGTGGATGTGTAAAAGCGTGGGAGTCAAGAGTGTTGTGTAGTTGACATAAACGCCAATACCCAATAGCGTGAGTGTCATTAAAGTCTGTCACGTGAATGAATGTTGCAAACAACCGAGTCCCAATTCAGTTAACTTACAATACTTTTGAATTTCCTTCTTTTAATTTCATACGCCATTAGAGACAATAAACTTTCATGTCAAATAACTAGAGAAAGAAACAAAGTGAATTTTTGGTGGATATTCACTTTTGTTTATTATTTATCGCTACTTGATTGAAACTGGTTTTGTTTGTGAGCTGCTTAATTCATTGAAGGAAGTAGGAAATTTTGTTAAAACTGCCATGACAAGAACAAGAAAAATAAAGCCTGCCGGCGGCTGCCTATGTTTAAATTGGGAAGTGGAGGTGGGTAGGGTCTAGCGTGTGAGATTCGTGACTCCATTGACTACTATATAGTCATGTAATTTAATCTAGTTAAGTTAATAACTTCGCAATGCAATTCCAAGTTCCAACCCCAATAAAAAGAGGCCCTCCTCATTGGAAGCGGAAGCTGGAGAAGAAATGGTTGGGTTGACTAATGACTCATGAATGACAATAATGAGGGCCCTACTATTCTGCTGGATAAAATCTCATCACATTTTCACATGCAATCTCTGAGGAGGATGGCGCCAAAACGAAACCTCCACCCTTCCCTCTCGCACACAACACAACACATTCGCCACAGAGTCGCAAATACAAAAACCAACCCAACCCATGTGGCAGACACAAACACACCCACACAATTCAAACTCAAACTTGGTATGCCTTTATTCAATTCATAGACCATATAGAATAATAATCAATTATAAATAATAATGTAACATAACACCACCGACACCGCAATTTTCTTTTTATTTCCAAATTATTTGCAATTAAACAAATATATATTTATTTATTAACTTTCCCTCTCTTTTGTTTTCTTTGCGGCTAGGCTACCTCTCACCCTTCCTTTCTTTCTGTAGCGCACTTAAATACGTCCCATGCCTCATCAAATGTCATCATCATCATTCGCTCTTCTTCCCTTCTCCTTCCTTCCCCTCCCTTGTTTTAAACTCAC